CCTGCTGGTGCAAGCATGGGGGCCTAAATCTTAGCCAGCCAGAGGCACCCATGCACGTGTGTGTAGGGGGATGTTAAATATTTTATAATATAAAATTTACCATTTTAGTCACTTTTAAGTGTAAAGTTCAGTGGCATTAATATATTCACGTTGTCATGCAACAGTCACCGTCATCCATCTCTGGAACTTCTTCATCTTCCTAAACTAAAACTTGATACCCATTCAGCACTAACTCCCCATTCCCCCTACCCTCCCAGACTCTGGCAGTCGTCATTCTGCTTTCTGTCTCTATGAATCTGACTACTCTATCACAATCTTTGTCCTTTTGTGATGAGCTTATTTCACTTCACATAATGTCTTCAAGGTTCATCCATATTGTAGCATGTGTCAGATTGTCCATTCCTTTTATGGCTGAATAACATTCCGTTGTAGGAATACACCACATTTTGTTTATCCATTCATCTGTCAATGGATATTTTGGTTGCTTCCACCTTTTGGCTATTATGAATAATGCTGCTATGAACAGTGGTAGACAAGTATCTGTTCAAGTCCCTGCTCAATTGTTTTGAGTATATACCCAGAATTGGAATTTCTGGATCATATGGTAATTCTATGTTTAATGTTTTGAGGAACTGTCGTGCTGTTTTCCACAGCAGCTGCACCATTTTACATTCCCACTAGCAATGCACAAGGGTTCACGTTTCTCCACATCCTCACCAACACTTGTTTTATTTTTTTAAATAGGCTGCACACCCAACATGGGACTTGAACTCACGACCCTGAGATTAAGAGTGGCATGCTCTGTGACTGAGCCAGCCAGGCGCCCCTGTTTTGTTTTGTTTTAAATAGTAGCCATCCTAGTGGGGTGAGGTGGTGTCTCATTGTCATTTTGATTTGTATTCCCTAATGATAAGTGATTTTGAGCATCTTTTTTTGATTTGTATTCCCTAATGATAAGTGATGTTGAGCATCTTTTTTTTTTTTAAGATTTTATTATTTATTTGAGAGAGAGAGAATGAGAGCCAGAGAGCACGAGAGGGAAGAGCATCAGAGGGAGAAGCAGACTCCCCGCTGAGCAGGGAGCCCGATGTGGGACTCGATCCCGGGACTCCAGGATCATGACCTGAGCCGAAGGCAGTTGCTTAACCAACTGAGCCACCCAGGCGCCCCAATGTTGAGCATCTTTTCATGTGCTTACTGGCACATAAAATTTGTATCTTTGGAGAAATGTTTATTCAGATCCTTTGCCCATTTTTAAATCAGGTCACTTGTTTTTTGTTGTTTGAGTTGCTGAAGTTCTTTATATATTTTGGATATTAATCAGATATATGATTTGCAAATATTTTCTCCCATTCCGTAGGTTGCCTGGTTGCCTTATCACTCTGGTCATAGTGTCATTTGATGCATAAAAGGTTTTAATTTTGATGAAATCCAATTTATCTATTTTTCTCTTGTTGCCTGTACTTTCAGTGTCATATGCAAGAAATCATCACCAAATCCAGTGTCAAGAAGTTTTGCTCTTTGTTTTCCTCTAAGAGTTTTATGGTTTTAGCTCTTATGTTTAGGTCTTTTATCCATCGGGGGTTAGTTTTTGTATGTGGTGTGAGATAAAAATCTAACTTCATTCTTTTGCACATGGATCTCCAGTTTTCCCAGCACCATTTGTTGAAAAGACTGTCTTTTCCCCATTGACTGGTCTTGGACCCCTTGTCGAAATTATTTGACCATCCATGCAAGGGTTTATTTCTAGGCTCTTTATTTTATTCCATTGGTCTATATGTCTGTCTTTATGCCAGTACCATACTGTTTTGTTTCCTGTAGCTTTGTAGTACATTTTGAAATCAGGAAGTATGAGACCTCCAATTTTATTCTTCTTGTTCAAAATTGTTTTGCCTATTCAAGCGTCCCTTGAATATGAGATTTCATATGAATTTTAGGCAGACAAAGGCTTTTTTTTTTAAGATTTTATTTATTTATTTATTTGACACAGCGAGAGAGAGCACAAGCAGGAAGAGCAGCAGAGGGTGAAGCAGGCTCCCTGTTGTGGGACTTGATCCCAGGACCCTGGGATCATGACCTGAGCTGAAGGCAGACACTTAACTGACTGAGCCACCCAGGCATCCCAGACAAAGGCTTTTTAAAATTTGGGCTCATGGTTTCTCTGGCAATACAGTTACCTCAAAACCTTTTTGATGTATAAGTCAGCATTCTCCAGAGAAACATAACTAACAGGATGTATGTGTATATGTGTGCGTGTGTACATATATATGAGTGCAGGGGAGATGACTGGTTCATGATTGTAGAGGCTGGCAAAGCCAAAATCTGCTGGTAGGCCAGAAGCCAGAGACCGTGGAGGAGCTGATATTGCCATTCAAGTCTGCTGGCAGAATCCCCTCTTTCTTAGGGAAAGTCAATCTTTTTTTCTATTAAGGCCTTCGACTGATTGGACGAGGCTTACCTACTTTATGGAGAACAGTCTGCTTTACTAAAGTCTACCGATTTAAATGTTAATCTCACCTTATGGGGCGCCTGGCTGGTTCAGTTGGTGGAGCATGTGACTCTTGACCTTGGGGTCATGAGTTCGAGCCCCACACTGGGTGTGGACATTACTTAAAAATATATTTTAAAAAATGTTAACCTCACCTTACAAATACCTTCGCAAAAACACCTAGAATAGTACTTGACCACATATCTGTGGACTGTGTGGCTTAGCCAGACTGACCGAAAAATTAATACAACAGGTTTCTGCTGTGTTTGCTTCCAGTCAGATCCATGTGACACTAACCAACCTTAAGCTCTTTCCTAGACAGAATTCTCAAGCTTCTATATTTGTTTTGATACCCTTGCCTCTTCTTTTAAAGATTTTATTTATTTATTTATTTATTAACATTTAATTTATTTATTTGACAGAGAGAGGGAACACAAGCAGGAGGAGTGGGGGAGGGAGAAGCAGGCTTCCCGCGGAGCAGGGAGCCCGATGCGGGGCTCCATCCCAGGACCCAGGGATCATGACCTGAGCCGAAGGCAGACCCTTAACGACTGAGCCACCCAGGCGCCCCTATTTGCTTATTTATTGAGAGAGAGAGAGAAAGAGCACGGGTGTGTGTGAGTGGGGAAGGGGCAGAGGGAGAGGGAGAGAATCTCAAGTGGACTCTGCGCTGAGCACAGAGCCTGACAGAGAACTGGATCTCACAACTCTGAGATCACAGCCTGAGCTGAAATCAAGAGTTGGGTGCTTAACCTACTGAGCCATCCATGGTGCCCCACCCCTTGCCTCACTCTTTTTTAAAGATTTTATTTATTTGAGAGAGAAAGAGAGAGCACGAGCGGGGGTGGGGCACAGAAGGAGAGGGAGAAGCAGGCTCCCCGCTGAGCAGGGCACCTGATGTGGGGCTCGATGTGGGGCTCGATCCTAGGACCCCGGCATCATGACCTGAACGGAAGGCAGACGCTTCACCAACTGAGCCACCCAGGCGCTCCCCCTTGCCTCACTCTTAATGTAATGATGGCTACACCAAAGTCATGTGAAATAATAAGCTGATATTTGCCTTACAGGTGTTCACATCTTTCAAGACCTTTTTCAATCTTAGACTACTTGTTGTCTAGAAGCAGTCAGCTTTTCTGACTCTGAAAGGCCCATTATCTCCGGACTTTATTTCCCTTCCATCTCTGCTTGAAAACCAGCCAGTTCTCACCTAAGTTCACCTCTTTCTTCTAATGCTTTATAAAAGCGCCCATGCTAGTTAGTAAGTTATTGTCTCTCAGCTCTAAACACACCCTTCTGCTTTCTACTATGAGATACTGGAGCTGGGACTCAGCAAATCCATTTCTGCTTTGTCAGCTGGCTTTGTGTGTGGCTCTGCCGGTAAGGACCACCAGAGGGAGATAGTGAGTCCAGAGGAGGAAGAGAATCTCCCTCCCTCTGTTTGCTTCCTTTTCCTGTGAGGTCACTAGCAAAGCTCCTTCACCTGGGCAGCAGCTGAATCCACGCTGCAGAGTTTTCACAACAGCTGGTTTTGCAGAACCAGCTTCATGGTGTCGCAGTCAGAGACACCAGCCTCAGCCCGGTGGCACTCTCCTCAGCGGTGTTGGTCCTTCCTCCCTCTCAGACACCAGACACCAGCACCAGACTTAGAGGTCTGAGTTTCAGCTCTGTGGAGCCCCTCTTCTAAGTTTTCGTAATTCCAGATGCTTCCCTTTGTTCTCCTAGCTCTGTGAGTTATATAGATGGCTCCTGCTGTTGCTGCTCCGTGATATCTCAGAGTTGTCTTTTTACCTTTTCAGTTAGTTAACAGCTTTATACCTAGTTAACTCTTCCAACTATTCTTTATATTAAACTCCCTCTGTCCAATGACTGGTATGGCTTCTGACTCATTGGCTAGACCCTGACTGATACAGAAATTGGTAATAGGAGGGGGTCCCAGGAAATAGACCTCAAAAGATGGGAATAGGGATCTGGTTTGGTTGTGTCATTGGGTTTCAATGTGCTGAGCTCCTTGCCAATGAGAAATGCAATGCAACTAATCCACGGCTGTGGCATCATGATTAATCAGATTATCACTTGTTATTTGGGATGACTTGCCAACTCATGCAAGTGCCTTGGGGGGCCCAAGTGTTGCACTAGACTATTATGGCGGTGATGATGACTATGGGGACTTGGTATGGCAGGAATGCTTGTGAATGCATCAGAGCCCTTGCACAAAGAAGATGACAAGCTTGGGTCTTTAAATTTTCAACTAAGTCATGGTCAGAGAGTCATAGAGCTTCCAGGATAACCATAAGAGAATCTCTTATTTCTCCTAGCCCCAGATTTATTTGCTACAAATAAAATATTGCACATGTTGCAGATTTACAACAGTTGAACTCAGTCTTATTTTTTTAAAGACTTTATTTATTTGACAGAGAGAGAGTACAAGCCGGGGGTGGGGGGGAGAGTGTCAGGCAGAGGGAGAGGGAGAAGCACACTCCCCACTGAGCAGTGGGCCCGACATTAGACTTGATCCCAGGACCCTGGGATCATGACCTGAGCCAAAGGCAGATGCTTAAACGACTGAGCCACCCAAGTGCCCCTTGAATGCAGTCTTATTAAGTCTTTCCAGTGATGGAGGGGGAGTGGGACTCTGAAATTTGGAATGGGCACATCTGGTTTGACTCAGTCTCCTTCATTCGGCTAGCAGGTGGGAACGGGAGCAAAGATCAGCACCTGGGAGTTTTATGAGCCAGCTTGTCACTTTCACTTGCATTCTATTAGCCAGAATTCAGTCACTTGGTCACACCCATCTGTAAGAGAGGCTGGGAACTGTGAGTGTTGGTGAGAATGAGTAGTTTATGTCACACTAAATGGGCCACTAGTGACATTTAAGATAGAAGGTGGGTTTTTTTTAAAGATTTTATTTTTAAGTAATCTCTACACCCAATGTGGGGCCTTAAGTTACAACCCTGAGACCAAGAGTTGCATGCTCTACCCACTGAGCCAGCCAGGTGCCCCAAGATAGAAGTTTTAGGGGAGTGATGTAGACAGAGGCCAAATTTAAAAAGTAATAAGTGAGGGGTGCCTGGGTGGCTCAGTTGGTTAAGCGACTGCCTTCGGCTCAGGTGATCCTGGAGTCCCGGGATCGAGTCCCACATCGGGCTCCCTGCTGAGCAGGGAGTCTGCTTCTCCCTCTGACCCTCCCCCCTCTCATTCTCTCTCTCTCAAATAAATAAATAAAATTTAAAAAAAAGAATTTAAAAAGTAATAAGTGAATAGGTGACATGGAAGTGAGAGCTACTCTTTAAATGAAGAGAGAAAAAGATAAACCTGACACTAGAGTGAGGAGGCAGCCAACATGGAATGCTGTTTCTGTTGTTGGTATTTTAGTTTAGTTTTGCTCTTTATTTATTTGTTTATTTTTAAAAAGATTTATTTATTTATTTGAGAGAGAGAGTGCGTGCATGCCCATGTACAAGTAGGGGGAGGAGCAGAGGGAGAGGGAGAAAGAATTTTAGGCAGGCTCCATGCCCAGAGTTGAGCCCAATGTGGGGCTCGATCTCAGGATCCTGAGATCATGACATGAGCCAAAATCAAGAGTCTGAGGCTTAACCAACTGAGCCACTCAGGTGCCCCCTGCTTTTTAATTGGGAGAGTATGGAGCGTGTGTTTGTAGTCTCTATGAACAGAGAGAGAGGTAGGACATGAATGGAGGGCTGGCCATGGGCAGAAAGAGGCCCACATCTTTAAGATGAGAGGCAAGGATCGAGGCAAATAGGGAAAAATTATGAGGTAGAGAGGAGGGAAGCTGAAATCAAGCAAGATAGTTTGAGTTTCTGTAAAATGACAAGGAGCAAGCAAAGGTTTGAGGTTGCAAAAGAACCCCGTTGGGTGGGACAACAGGAATCTATACTGAAACCAGTATGTCCAGTTTTTAACTTTGTTCTACAGCCAAGGAACAAGAGGGGAGGAAGCCCACAACGTGGTTCACTCCAAGGTGGGGCTCATCAAACCCAGAATCTTTGGCACCAAGGGCATGGCTGGGCAGCCTCTGGCATGTGTAACAATTAGTGATCCTTGAGGTCACTGTTGTTACCTTTCTATCCCTCTGCATTATGTATCTTTTTTTAAGATTGATTTATCTTAGAGAGAGTGAGAGGGCGCAGGGGGGAGGGGCAGAGGGAGAGGGAGAGAGAGAATCACAAGCAGACTCCATGCCAAACGTGGAACCCGACCTGGGACTTGATATCACAACCCTGAGGTCATGACCTGAGCTCAAACCAAGAGTCAGATGCTCAACCAACTGAGTCACCCAGGTGCCCCTGCATCATGTGTTTTGATTTTGTTTCTTACTCTCTCCTATACTAGTCTCCAGCTTGCTCTTTTCTTATCCTTTTCGTTAGGTTTTCCAGTAATCCCAATGTGGTGGACAGAACCTAAGGTAACCCCCAGTGATTCTGGCCTCCTGATATTCACACAAAGGTGTGATCCTCTTTTTGAGTTCAAGTGGGACCTGTGACTTTCTTCTAACCTATAGAATATGGCAGAAGTGATGGGAAAGTAGTCACTCCCACTGCATACATAATAAGTTTCATTATGTGAAACCCAGTCTTAGCAGACTGGAACTAGAGACTCTCCTTGTGGGCCTGATAAAGTAAGCAGCCATGTTGGAGAAGCCCACATGGCAAGGAACTGTGGTAACCCCCGGGGGAACTGCAGATGGCCTCTGGAACTATTTTGCTGCTTTGCTGACAGCCAACAAAAACCCCAGGCCCTGAGTCATATAGACAAAAAGGAAGTAAGTTCTGCCAACAAAACCTGAATGGGCTTGCAGGTGGATTCTTCCCCAGTTGAGTGTCCAGATGAGGATGCAGCCTTGCTGATACCTTGATTACAGCCTTCTGAGACTCAGGGCAAAGGATTCAGCTGACCAGGCTGGCGCTCCTGAGCTGGAACCTATGAAACAATAATGTGTGTTGTTTTAAGCCACTAAATTTGTGATAATTTGTTACACAGCAATTTGGAAAATGAATACACCCAAAATTCTTGAAAAATACTGTGGCATCAACCCTACATCAACCCGGATATCTAGAAAATCCTTGGTCTGGGTCCAGATCACAGAGCTGGGAGAGGGAGGCCAGAGGATGTGCCGCACATACCCCCTAGACACTCTGAACTTCAAGATAGTAGTTAACAGGCCCCTGGTTTTGTTTCACAGCAGACGCAGACTGTCCCCCCACCCCTACCCCTGCCTGCCTGCCCCCCTGCCCCCCGAAATACCTATCCGGTCAGTCCTCAGAGATGGGTGAAGCCTGGCCCTGGAATTACAGATTGTTAGAAGTAGATCAAGAAGTCCACCCCTCGAATCTCGGCGCTTGGCAAGATGCCTGGAGCCCAGGGGACGCCCAACAAATGCTTTCATTGCAAAACAACAGAAAGCTCCCGGGAGCGCGC